GAAGGACTCTGAATTGTGCCTTAAAATTTTAATTTTATTATGGGATGCTCTGGGGGTTCTCTTAAACAGTTAAATCAATGCATAAAAAGATAAAAAAATTAGCATAGCTGACTATGTTCAAAGTAATACTAGCAATTTAATATTAACATTTATACAAGCTGTTATGCTCTCCTATACTTGGGGTTTTAGTTATTAGTGGTTTTCTTTCCTTTCTCCCTAGATGTAGTTACCCCTTCCCAATTTTTCGTTGTAGTTTGTAGTCTATTAAAAAATGCAATAAAAAATCCCCTCCAGGGGGCCAAAAACACACACAAAAAACCCTGATTCTCCTAGATTAGAGTCTATGCTCCTAACCACTACACCAAACTGGCAAGGGCAGATTTGATTTTTCACCCAGAATATGGAACCTTTCCATAATATCTAACAAATAAATAGCAATAAAGTAAGAAATGCTCCTCTCTTTGTACTAGATGAGCACTGCAAGGGAAAAACTGAGGACAAAACCACAAGGGAAAACAGAGACAGTGTGCTGGAATGCTTCATGCCGGACTGAGGTTTAAATTATGTTCTGCACACTCAGAGCATACATGGGGCACTTGGGTGATGGGAACTCTAGAAAAAGGGTATTTTGCGACAAAAAGGGAGAACTCTACCCATATAGACATGACAGCAGGAACAAATACTATTGTAGCACATGGTTAACTCTGTTCAGAACACTTGTAAGTTCTCACTTTCAGAACACCAACCAAGAGCCTTCACTTTCCAGCTGGGGGATACAGGAAAGCATGGGAGGGCAATTTCCTGCCTCAGGCTGTGACAACTACAATGGTTTACTCTGCTTTCGTGCACTGCCTTAGTTACCCCATTGCCCTCTAAGCTGTGGAGTCTGGTGAGCAAAATTTCTGCTTTGTGAGCTACTGGCATTAAAGTTGTGAGCGAGCAATTTGGCTCCTGCCAAATTAGTTTGCTCTTGAGCCCTCCTTCCTGAGCTAAGACAAAAAGGTGTGAGCCGGAGGCTAAAAAACTGTGAGCTAGCTCACACTAACTCAGCTTAGAGGGAACACTGGTCTACTCCTGTACAAAATTCCAAGCAGACACAAATGTAGTAATGGGCAATATTCTGTAGCATTCACATTAACAACCGCCCGCTGAGCCTGTGAAACAACAAAACAGCTGCAGTGACCGGTGTGCATAAAGCTACCCCTATTGTTACAGTCTGGCTCCTGTCCTAGGCTGTTGAAACAAATGAGTGGGAAACCACATTTACACGGTTCTGTGGATGCACTAAAATTAGTTTTCAGTGCCTTTGGGATTTCCCCCCTTAAACTGAAACAATATATGGGATATACATGTTCTATCGTCTTCAATTTTTTTTTTACAAATATCATTCCAACACAGTAATTTCCACATAAAGATTTGAAGTTGTTTGAACAGAATGTTCAAACTACACTTGATTTGTTTTTCCTAATCAAATACTTCAGCTCAGGTATTTGTTACTGTCAGAACCAAAATTCCCTCTAAGCTGTGCTAGGGGGCACTGGCACACAAAATTTTAGCTCCAGTTCAGGGAGTTTAAGTTTCTGCTCACACTAAGGCATTTTTTCCACTCCACTGGAAACAATGGAAGATGAGGCACCTCATTCTAGGGCCCACATAATTGGACCCCATGGCCCAATCTTTTTGAAACTTTGGGTTTTTTTTGAGGAGGCTCCAGCAGGTATGCTGCAAATTTGGTGACTCTACCTTAAAAAACAGTGCCCCCCCTCAAGAGCCCCAGATATTCCTGAATTGATTCTCCATTATAACCTATGGGGCCCATTGACTATAATGCAGTCGGAAAAAATAGATTTTTTTTGTACACTCGTTATGCTTTTCAGTATGATTTGTAAGCTGCCTTGAATCACAGGAAAAGTGGGATATAAATATTTAAATAAATAAGTAATTTGGGCAGGTTGATAACATTTAAGCGACTTCCTCTTTGTTAGGTTAGGCAGGGTTCTGACAGTGATTGTTCCACCTCTGTTATACTTGACCTGTAAATTTGTCATATTTCACTAAAAAAACGCAAAATAGATGTGAGGCCCCCCCCCCATACACACAAGCTCCAAAAACACAGTGATTTCTTCAAACACTTTCAAACTCAAGACCTCTTTGAGAATACGAATCATTCACCAACACTGACATAAAACATAATGCCTCTGCTCTAGAGACGCAAAGGCCTGGGGAAAAAACTGGAAAAATTCAGGAAAAAACCTTCTCCCCCCCATTTTTTTTCTGAGGCCTTTTCCCCATTTTTCCAAATGAAAAATTGGAAATTTGGGGGAGTACTGAAAAAAAGAATGACAAAGAGCATGCTGTAGACATATACAGCTCTTACATTCAAGATTCAAGATGCATGTCTACACCTACGAGGATACCTAATTTTGAAAGGGGGACATGCAGGGCTTTTATGGCTTCTGTTGTCCTTTTGACCAGACTCTTCCCCTTTCTCACAATACAAGACCCTTTCTCACAATACAAGAACTCGTGGGCACTCCATGAAACTGCAGAGCGGTCGGGTTAGAACGGATAAAAGGAAGTACTTCTTCACCCAAAGAGTGATTAACACATGGAATTCACTGCCACAGGAAGTGGTGGCGGCTACAAGCATGGACGGCTTCAAAAGGGAATTAGATAAGCATATGGAGCAGAGGTCCATCAGTGGCTATTAGCCACAAGGTATGCTGCATTTTATATTGTTACAGCAGTAAAATTAGTGTACATTTGATAGGACAGTAAGTATTGCCTACATTTCAATTTTCCCCAAAATTTCCATTTGGGGGGAAACTGACAAAACAGGTCTATCCAAGGCTTTAAAATTTCCAGGAATTTCCTGGTTTCCGTGTCCAAAATGAACTGGTCAGGATCACCAATGACATTCCATATACACCAACAATGACAAAAGCATGCAGCTATTTTATGCAGAATTAAGTATACCTAAAGTAATGGATTTCAATGACCTTAAGAGACCCAACTCCGTATCAAAAGAAGCTGTTGGTCCTTTGGTCTATGGCCATCTAACAATTTCAATTGTGTATTTCTTTAGTATAAAAGAACGAGGTACACACAAAATTCTTTTCTGTAGCTACTTACCTAAAGTAATGGATTTCAATGTGACCCAACTCCGTATCAAAAGAAGCTGTTGGCCCTTTGGTCTATGGCCATCTAACAATTTCAATTGTGTATTTCTTTAGTATAAAAGAACGAGGTACACACAAAATTCTTTTCTGTAGCTACTAAAATAGGTGTTATCCAAAAAGGACACCTCCTTTCTGCAAAGCATAACAGGATGCTAATCTAAAATGACATCATATCCTAATCTAAGCATAACAGGATCCTAATCTAAGATGAAACATGCCCAAGCTTGCCTTCTGGTTGAACAGACTTAAGCCAGTGATTTTCAAACGGTGGATTATGAAACATAACAGGGTGAGGTGGGAGAGAAAATTGCAGCAACACTGATGAAAAATCTGGGCTTGCCTCCATACACATAACGGAAAATGGTTATGAAATACACTCTGATGCTCAACAAAACCATATATTTATAACATCAATAAATGGGGAGAAAGTCCTATATACTTGTTCAGAATTAACATGTGGGATTTTCATTTTATGTTGCATAAGGAGCATGTACTGAGGCTGGCAAGAGTCCCAAAAGGCACAATAAGTTTAGAAGCAGGGTCCCTCTCCCCCCTCAAAAGCCACCCTTCAAGAAGTCTGGGAACCACCTGACTTCAGCTACAGCCGTATACACACTCCAGTAACAATCTCAAAACACTCCACTAACAACTCAGCCTAACTACAGCCTCACCTTTGAAACATGAGTGAACCAAAATCAACAAAGTGAACAGTGTGAAGAGAGGCACCGCAAAGATAACTCCAGACGGTTCCATAGGCCAAAGCCCAATTCCTTAGTCTCAAAATCGGCTTACTTCATGCTCCTGACAAAGAAGGCTCTGCTCCATAAAAACTAAAAGTGGCATGAGTCCAAATAGATGTGCACTGGGCCTTCGTACTAGTACTTTTTGAAAAAGAAATTCAGGGGGCACCACTAAAACAGACCTTTCAAAACTACAAACATGGAATCCCCGGCACAAGACCAGATAGACCTCAAACCTCAAAGTTGCCCACCAGACACTTTGAAGCTCTTGCTGCAGCACACCCAAGGTTGCCAACTCTGGGTTGGAGGATTCCTGGAGATGTGGGGTGGAGCTGGGGGAGGGGAAGGTACTCAACAGGGACATGATGGCATAGACTCCACTCTAGGGTTGCCAGCTCCAGGTTGAGAAATACCTGGAGATTTGAGGGGTGGAGCCTCAGGAGGGCGGAGTCTGCGGCATAATGCCATAGTGTCCAACTTCTAAAGCAGCTGTTTTCTCCAGGTGAACTGATCTCCATCACCTAGAAATCAGTTGTAATAGCAGGAGATCCCCAGCCACCAACTGGAGGTTGGTAACCCTACTCCACCTTCCAAAGCAGTGGCTTTCCCAAGGGAACTCTTTAGTCTGGAAATCAGTTCTAATTATCTGACCAGGCCCCACCTGGGGATTGGCAACCCTACTCCACCATCCAAAGCAGTGGCTTTCCCAGGGGAACTCTTCAGTCTGGAAATCAGTTCTAATTATGGGAGCTGACCAGGCCCCACCTGGAGGTTGGTAACCCTAAGCACACCTGCCGTCCGAAACACGCCTAGACAGAAGAAGAAGGGGCACTGAAGAAACTTTACTTCAATGCAAAAGCGCTCAGGATTGGAACCGCGGCCCTGGAGCCTCCTGTCCGCCCACTTCGGCAACCAAAAGCAGGCAGGATTCGGTTCTATCACCCTCAGGGGCAAGTGGGGAGTCCCCCATCGCCGCCGAGGAGGACTGGGGGGCTTCGCGGACGCCGCTTCCCACACGCAGGACGGAAGTGCCACGAGCCTTACTCGCCTCGCTTTTCCAAACCCCGAGCCCATCACCTACCCCGCTGCCCGACGCCATCTTGCCTCAGGAGCGTCACGGAAACCGGAAACCGTCGCGCACTCTCGGGGTACGTCATTAAGCGCGCCAGAAAACCCAGCCTATCTCTATGGCAACCAACGCCTCAGACAGACAGAGAGCGCGTGTTTCCGGTAGGGGGATCGGAATTTCCGAATGACTCGTGTCCGCTCTAGGCGCCGTCTCGTCTGCTCACAACGAGGCTTTTCTCGGTGAGGATCAGGCTTTGGCGGGATAGAGATGGGGGGCAGAGCGGCCTCCAAAGGCCTCGTAAGAAACGCTTCCTTCAGATCCTAAGCGGACCACGGAGTCAGCCTTTAAGCAACCGCCGTCTTCCACCCTCAGTTGCTGTATAGGGTATTCTGTTTATTTATCTTCGTTTTAGTTGCCCTTTGACCTGTCTTGCAGGGTGGTTGTTATAAGGGCTATGAAATAAATGTGGGAGCTGGGATGTTCAAACTTGAACTTCAAATCCTTTAGCTAATGTTAAGTCCTATGGAGTGGTCTTGTCCACAAAAGTTTATACTGGAGTTGCTCTATTGAATGCATTCGTACCTTTCCTTTCTCCCCAGTGGAGACCTAAAGTGTCTTACCGTGTTCTCTGCGCCTCTATTTTATCCTCACAACAACCCTGTGAGGTAGGTTAGGCTGAGAGAGGCTGCAGTCACACACACTAAATAATCCACTTTCAATGCACTTTCCTACTGAATTTTGCCAAGTCACACAGTAAAATCCAGTTGGAAAGTGCATTGAAAGTGGATTATTTAGTGTGTGTGAGCGCAGCCCGAGTGTGACTGGCCCATGGTCACCCAGCGAGCTTCCATGGCATAAGTAGGGGTTCAAACCCAAGTTTCACAGATATGAGTCCACCACTGCACCACATTGGCATTGTGTGTGTGTTTTTATGCCTCTTAGTCTTTAAATGTTCTATATATTTTTCTTGCAACAGATTAACACAGTTACTCCTCTTGAATAGTTAGGGCAGTAAGTATCTCTCATCCTAGCCCACCTCACATTATTTGTTGTTAGGATAAAAGCAGGGGGGAGACTGTGTACTCCTGAGGTTGAACTGAGAAGAAAAATTGGATGCATTGAAATAAGTAATATCCACACGTGTTGATGCAGTATATTTGGCCGCATTGGTAGTCTGTTACAAATAAACCGGAGTCTTGTGGTATTTTCAATACTTTAAAGTGTTGACAAAGCTTCTGTTTATATAAGAGCCGTGTAGATCCTTAAGCATGCTGGGGCTGTGTCCTGATTCCAGAGTTGTTAGTGGTGTATGCAGCTTTGTTCTGTCAGCCCTATATCCTTCCAGGTTTGCTTTTCTGAGGCTGCCTACTGCATTTCTCACATAAGGAATTTCTTTTTCAATTGGCGTTTCTCAGGTAAGGAATTTCTTTTTTAATTGCCTTTCTCCCCCTCTTTTAGGCTGTTTCTGCTGCTTAGAATGCAGGGAGTTCTTTAAAGTTGGTTTGTGGAGACCTGGTTTGTCCTGCAGCAAGGAACTACAGCTACTGAACTTGGATCGTGTCAGCTCTTGACCATGCTCTGTGTCCACTCTTTCCTCAGAAGGGCTTCGTGCAACAGCCTGCCCCTGGCAGTGCAGCGTTCTGTCCTGCGGGCCTTCTCAGTTCATCTACAAAATCAGGTGCATCTCATTTACCAGAACTTTATTCTCATTTTTGCAGCTTGCATGTTTTTCTGTTGCAGGGTTTTGAAGCACAAGCCTCTTTGTGCTGTAGCATCAGACTTTCACCAGTAGATGAAGATAAGTTTAGACAGAAGCGGTGTTCTACAGATCCAACAGCTAAGATGTTTTTCATCCCAGCAATGGCCTTTTAAGCCAAAGGAATTTGCTACATTTCACTCATAAGGGTTTCACAGCTGACTTTTATTTTTATCAGAGGTTTTTCTGTCCCTGTGCCTCCCCTTGATTTGCAGATATCTCTTCAGCCACAAAGAGGGGGAACGCGAAAGAGAGCACATGGCACTACTATTTTAAAATGTCATTGTGTCCTTTCTTTTGGCTATTTTGTAGAAGAAGATAGAACACTCATTTAAAAAATCTGAGATCAGATTTGCTGCTCATTTCTACACTTTCCCTCCAAACCCAGAAAGAGATTTTCAGTGATGTTCACACTGCTCATATGTGTACTTACTCAGAGGTAAGTCCCCAGTGGGTTTAATGGGACTTTCTCCCAGGCAATTCTATATAGGTCCCATTCACACGGAGAAGTTGCCACGCTAAAGACACGGATGATAGGTGGATTTTCGGTCCGGGATCACACCGCAACATCTCGGACGCGTAGTATACCCGTGGCTTCTCGCCGAAAATGTGGAGTAAAAAACTACCACATACAATGTACTAGTTTCTGGAAAATGTGGGGCAAGGGTGGGCGTCTGATCGCGTTTCTGCTTGAATCCCGTGACATCCGGTGCCCGTCCATGTCCCATCGCACACCGGATGGGGGTTTTTTTGTAAGTCTCCATAGGATGCGCACAAACGATCATGCACATATGCAAACTTCGGTGTGAAAAAAAAATCCCATTTGCCACGGAAGTGGCACCTAGCAATTGCCAGTGTGATCGCGCTGCTTCTTTGCCACGCTGCAGGATAACCGTGTGATTGGCACCTAACGGCCTAACCACGGGACCTCGATGGGACGTGTGACCGGGCTGCCACGCGTTACTTAGCTCCGGGGCTAACAGCCACGCCCCCCCCCCCGCATTTTCCGGCCCGTGTGACCGGGGCCATAGGATTGCAGCCTTGAACCTATGAAACTGTGTCATAATGAGTCTGATGATTAGTCCGCCCAGCCCTGTCCACTTTGGTTGACAGTACATTTCAGGGGCTCCCCTACTGACCATTCCAGCCCTGCAACTGGAGATCCTTCTACCTGGGGTGCTGGGAGTTGAGCCTGGAGAGATGCATTGCAAAGCATGTGCTCTGGACTATACTGATGGGCCTCTCTTTCAGTCAGGAAAAACTGCCTAAAGAAGTCTGTTCCTCTTGCTCTAGACAGTTACTCTATCGGAAAAAGTAAAGTCTACTCTATGAACTCTTGCCACCAGAACTCATTCACCTTTTTGGTGCCACAGAACAATGTGTTCTTTGAAAACTTATCAGTCCTCTTTCACTTTTATTATAAGTTTTTTCAGACAGGAATTTATACTAAGTTTAAATTATGTTTAATTTAAACTAAAAGGCCCTGGCCTTTTTAGTAGAAAAATACATAGTCTTTATAACAATCTTAAATAGTAGATAGTATGAATGTACAAAACCCCAAATGTAAATAAATTACGGACTAGCCCAAATGTCTTCACATTTCACCAGAAAATACACATGCTGGGTAGTATTTGAACTTCTAAAAATGCGTATTTGTTGACTAGAAAAAAATTGATAAAAAGGCTAAAAATTACACAGGTGAAAAGAAATAATAATTTCATGTGTTCATTAATTTTGAAAAGACTGAAAAGGATGAGGACTTTAGAAGGTATATTGTATGATTTATGTTTAAAGAATTGTTTCCCTTTTATTAACACAGTCTGTCACCTGATCAGTCTAGGAATTATTGCATTGTAGCAGGCTGTGGAAGGTCGGTAGTTCAGCAGTTTGAGACCCGGGTGTGCCGCATGACGGAGTGAGCTCCCGTCTCTAGTTCCAGCTCCTGCCAACCTTGATTTATGTTTAAAGAATTGTTTCCCTTTTATTAACACAGTCTGTCACCTGATCAGTCTAGGAATTATTGCATTGTTACAGTAGAAAAGAGTAAGAGTTCAGTAGTACCCTAAAGACTAAAAAAAAATGTGGTAGGGTATGAGCTTTCGTGAGTCACTGCTCACCTCTTCAGATTCCTAAAGTATCTGAAAAATGAGCAGTGACTCACGAAAGTTCATACCCTACCACAAATTTTGTTAGTCTTTAAGGCGTTACTGTAGTTTCTAGAATGAAGGATAGTTGTTTCACAAATCCCATGTGCCTTTTGACCAAACTTGTAATGCAGGGCTGTCAAACATATGGCCTGTGGGCTGGATGCGGCCCCCGCAAGGCTCAGATCCAGTCCAGAGCAACTTCCTTCTGCTTCCTTTTCCAGGGCTGCTGCTGCAACTGCACCGTAGCTTGCTTTTCCCCCAGCCCTTTGCTCTTTGCTCTTTGCTTCCAGTTTCCTGCCTCCCTTCCACCACCACCCCCAGTTCCCTCAGTGGCTGCTTCATGTAGGAGAGATACAAAGACAAGCCCTTCTAAGGTCCTGGTCACATGAGCAGGATACTGCACCGCTGAAGGGAGGCAAATTAGAGCCGGAGCAAAAAGAACCGCGGTAGCGCAATTTGATGCGCCTCCGTGGCTCCGTGCTCTGGCCTTTGGCAGGCGATCAGACGTAGCGTAGTAAAACAGACGTTGCGCGTTTGTGCGCATGCATGGGACGGGGAACGGCGCTGACTGTGACGGGCTACCAGCGCTTCCCTGATCAGATGCCTGGAGTTACCTTGCATCATCCGGAAGGTAGTGCTCTGTTGCCGGTACCTTTTCAGTGCGCATTTTCGGGCCGAAGGGACAGATTGGGGACGGGTGCGTGACGCTTCCCAGATGTTGCAGTATGATCGCGCCCGTTTGATGTACCCTCAACCCGTCTGTTTCACGAGGCAAATCCTCCCGTGTGACCGGGGCCTAATTCTTTCACTCACTCTCACTCACTCACATGCACAGCTTCTGTTTCCTGCTCCAAGGCTCTTTTGGGGAGGAAGGGAGAGGGAGGAGAGAGAGAGAGAGAGAGAGAGAGAGAGAGAGAGAGAGAGAGAGAGAGAGAACAAAGTTGGAGTCCTATGGCAGTTTTAAGACCAACAACGTTTTATTCCAGGTGTAAGCTTTTGTGTGCAAGCACACTTCTTCTTTTTTGGAGGATGGATGGATGCATTCTTCTCACAATTAAACTTTACATTGAAGAAATTATTTTGGCTTATTCCGAAAAGGGTTTTTTTAAAGACTGGATTTCTCTGTTCCTATCTAGATTTTATTTTCTTTCAAAAAGACCCCGATTAGGAATTGGATTGCTCCTTACATCTTGGAGAGTGGAGTGATTTCAGATGCCAAATGAGAATAGCACACATTGGTAATGACACAGGAAAACAGTCTCAGTTCAGTCCTATTGAGGCAGACTCAACATGGGTTCTGTAAGGGAAGATCTTGTCTCACTAACCTGTTAATGTTCTTTGAGGGGGTGAACAAACATGTGGACAAGGGGGATCCAATAGATATTGTTTACCTTGACTTCCAGAAAGCTTTATACAGAGTGTTGGACTGGATGGGCCTTTGGCCTGATCCAACATTGGCATCTCTTATGTTCTTATGTTTTTATGTCCTGGAGGATGCACTGTCTTGAGCTTCATTATCAGTTGCAATTCAGCAGTCTCTCTTTCTAATCTCCCTTTGAAATGCCTTTGTAAGAGCACTGCTACTCTTACGTCAGCAGCTGAATGTTATGGTTTCTAATGTCAGACTTACGTCCATTTATTCTTTGCATCCTCCTGGACTGAATCTTCTTGTATGGAATTGACACCTAGGTTTCCTGTCTCATCACCAGTGCTGATATCTCCACACCTACTACCCTTCTGCATATCACACCTAATCTAATCAAGCCTTCTATTGTCATTCAGCATCTGAAATCACCTTTATAACGTTTATATCTCTGATACCGTGCGTTACATTTTATGGCGAACGTGGCCTGGCCCAACAAAGTGACATTTATGTCTCGTAACAAATGAGTTAATTTCTCGTAACAAATGAGTTTGACACCTCTGTTTTAATGCCTCAAATGCAAACAGCAGGGTATAGATTTGAATTTGCAGAAGAGCTGTATAATGTGGTGATAACCGGGGGGGGGGGCGCTTAGGGACTCATTTTTTTCCTCCATTCATCACACCTGTTTGATCTTTTCCTAGGCTGCTGAAGAAGCAGCGAATCCTCCATCCCCACAGCTGCGAGCCAATGCGAAGACGGAAAATCTCATTCTCAAAACTCCCAAGGTAACGCTCCATCTCAATTGCCCATCTGGGTCTTCTTCTGCCACTTCCTTTTTCCAAGTCCCCTTGAAGCGGCGCTTGGCTCCTCTGGGACAAGCTGCTGCCCCCTCCTCCCTCAAGAGGATCCGGCCGTTTCCCACGTACAGGGTGCAGCTTTGGTTGCTTTTTCCAAATCTGTCCTCTCTTCCAATCACTCCCTATTATTTTCAGCAGCGCTTGATTCTCGTTGCAGGCTTTTTGGCATCGGTCCAGATATTCAGTGTTCAACAATTAAAGCAGCTGGAAACTCTTCAGCTGTTGGCTGCTGCCACCGTTACAACTGCGTAGATTTCACTGAGTTTTATTTTTAAAACTGCTTTTGCTTAAGCTCCAATTTGGTCTCTCTGTTTGGGCTTTCAGGGCACCAGGGATTTTAGCCCCAAGCAGATGGCCATCCGGGAGAAGATCTTCAGCACCATCATCAGCTGCTTCAAGCGTCATGGAGCGGTTACAATAGACACACCTGTCTTTGAGCTGAAGGTGAGGAGAGCTGGGTCTCCCTGTATACTGTCGGCAGGGTGGCCGGCCCCTACATAAGGGAAGATCCTCAGGCCTGTCTCTGCAGAGGGCTGCAACCCTGACTCTCGTGCTTCCGCTCCCTTGAATTCAACAGCACCTGTTTCCGTGGGGCCACCTTGTGACAGTTTATGCAGACTCCCTCCAGATTTCCATCAAGCAGCTGTTTTAACTGCCTTGAAGGCAGCTGCAGCTTAACGGTGATCTAATGGGAGGAAAGAGGAAGATGAAAATTAGCCATTCATTACGAACGTACGTTAAACTGCTCTATATTAGACATGGCTTGATATAAGCCGAGATACACTGCATTGCTTTTTTTTTTCCCCTTCAAGGACCTCTTGTTGGATGGTCATTGGGAGGAGTCAAAGCTGGTGTACGACCTGAAGGATCAAGGTGGGGAGGAGCTATCCCTTCGCTACGACTTGACTGTATCCTACCAAAAGTCCCTTATCTGAGACCACCCTTGAAGAGCGGGCTGTGTTGACCTCTTGGGGCGAGACTGTGCCACTTGCTGCCCTCTTGCAGCATTGTCCATGCTGGTGACTTGCTTCTTTGCATGAGGCTGCCATTGAAGGCGTGTTTTTTTGGGGGGGGGGTGCCTTTGGGGGAGGGTCATGCTTACAGGAAGCACATTACCGACATCCTCTCACAGTCAGCACTGGTTGCTAGTACATTACTGGGCACACTTTAAAATGCTGCAACAAAGCTTTAAAGGCTTAAATATTCTAGGCCAGCATACTTTAAACTGGGCCTTCTTCCAAATAAGCCCCTTCAGTGGGGGTTGTGTGGGAAAGGCTGCCCTGCAATGTTCCCTCTAAGCTGTGGAGTCTTGTGAGCAAAAATTCTACTTTGTGAGCTGCCGGCATTAAAGTTGTAAGCGAGCAATTTGGCTGCTGCATAAACTAGTTTGCTCTGGAGCCCTCCTTCCTGAGCTAAGGCGAAAATGTGTGAGCCGGAGGCTAAAAAACTGTGAGCTAGCTCACACTAACTCAGAGGGAACACTGCTGCCCTGTATTCTGTTTGTGAGGAAGATTCCTAGAGGAAGAGCACGGGTCACTCACTGTCTGCTCCGAAGACATGCTGGCGCTTCTCAGTGCTGTTCCTAAAGATGCCCGCATTGTTGTGTCCTTAGCAAGTTTTAGGGAAATGATAAAAACTGACCTGATCTGCCCGATCCATAGAGATGCTGACTATCTCAAGGCCGAACTACATGTTGCAACATTGGGGCTCTTCCACTGTGTAATTCAGCCTTAAAGAACAACTGGGGAGGAGGCAGGGATATGGATCTGTCAAGGATGGGCGAGTGGGCGTCAACATGGCAAATGGGGTTCAATGTGGCCAAGTGCAAGGTGATGCACATTGGAGCCAAAAATCCTAAATATAAATACACATTGATGGGGTCTGAACTGGCAGAGACTGATCAAGAGAGAGATCTTGGAGTTGTAGTGGATAACTCACTGAAAATGTCGAGACAGTGTGCGACTGCAATAAAGAAGGCCAATGCTATGCTGGGGATTATTAGGAAGGGTATTGAAAACAGATCAGCCAATATAATAATGCCCCTATATAAATCAATGGTGAGACCTCATTTGGAATACTGTGTGCAGTTCTGGGCACCACACCTTAAAAAGGATATTATAGCTTTGGAAAAAGTGCAGAAAAGGGCAACTCGAATGATAAAAGGGTTGGAACACTTTCCCTATGAGGAAAGGTTAAAGCGCTTAGGGCTCTTTAGCTTGGAGAAAAGACGACTGAGGGGTGACATGATCGAGGTTTATAAGATTATGCATGGGAAAGAGCAGGTAAAGAAAGAGGTACTTTTCTCCCTTTCTCACAATACAAGAACTCGTGGGCACTCCATGAAACTGCAGAGCGGTCGGGTTAGAACGGATAAAAGGAAGTACTTCTTCACCCAAAGAGTGATTAACACATGGAATTCACTGCCACAGGAAGTGGTGGGTGCTACAAGCATGGACGGCTTCAAAAGGGAATTAGATAAGCATATGGAGCAGAGGTCCATCAGTGGCTATTAGCCACAAGGTATAGCTAGGGGCTCTGGGGCAAGTGATGCTCTGTCTTCTTGGTGCTTGGGGGGGGGTCAACAGTGGGAGGGCTTCTAATGTCCTGGCCCCACTGCTGGACCTCCTGATGGCACTGGTATTTCTGGCCACTGTGTGACACAGAGTGTTGGACTGGATGGGCCTTTGGCCTGATCCAACATTGGCGTCTCTTATGTTCTTATGTTCTTATGATCAGAGAGGAGCCTATATTGCACACAGTGAGGCTGATTCTTCCAAAAGATTCTTGGAGGACCCTACTTCTAAACACTGACAGGATGGCAGCCTTCAGGCTGCTGATAAAAGAGAACTGTCCCCATGTGCTAATGCTTTGGGCGAGTCTCCTTGACTCTTTTTCTCAGGTGCCGTTTGCCCGATATTTGGCGATGAACAGGATCACCAATTTTAAGCGGTACCATATTGCCAAAGTCTACAGGCGTGATCAGCCAACCATGGCTAGAGGGCGCTACCGAGAGTTCTGCCAGTGTGTGAGTATTTGCCGACTGCTCAGCTCCTGAGCGTGGAGAGAGTGTTCTGTGTGCCTTCTGTCTTTGAAGCTCGGACTGGAGCTGAAGGGCTCTGTGAGTGGAATGCAGAAGATGCACGGGAGGATTTGGGCTGTTTTGTACTACTGAGAGACAGGAGCTATATGCGGAGTATCTCAGCCAACGTGGGTCTCACGTCCAGGTTACGCTTTTATGATTTTGATGGCTGCCTTCTCTTCTCCCCCCCCCCCCCCCCGGCACATTGCTGGCAACTACGATCCCATGATTCCTGACGCAGAGTGCCTGAAGGTCATGCATGAGATCTTGAGTGCCCTGCAGTGTGGAGAGTTCCTTATCAAAGTAAGAGAGCTTGTTGGTCTTCCTTCTCCCTCTCTCTTGGCCAGAGTGGGGTCAGTGTTGCCTGAACATTGCTTTCAGGAAAAAGAATTGGAACAAAACCAAGGTGTTAAAAAAGGGGTGTGAAGGTGATTGTCTATATCGTGTTCCTACATGGTTTCTAGATCAAGATGGGTAGCCATGTTAGTCTGTTTGTAGCAATAGAAGAGAGCAAGAGTCCAATAGCACCTTAAAGACTAACAGAAGTTGTGGCAGGGTGGGAGCTTGCATGAGTCACTGCTCACTTCTTCAGATACAGCTGGTATTTAAGTCCATCTGTCATATCAAAACATTGATGGATTCCCATTCTGTGCAGCTAGATGTGGTGCCTTCCTTGGAGACAGATCAAGATTTTAGTCTGTCTGTAGCAACAGAACAGAGCAAGAGTCCAATAGCACCTTAGAAGACTAACTAAATTTGTGGCAGGGTAGGAGCTTTCGTGAGTCACTGCTCACTTCTTCAGATACAGCTACATTGTTTCTGTTGAACGTTCCTCTTTTTACCCCCAGATCAATGACAGGCGCATTTTGAATGGGATCTTTCGTGTGTGTGGTGTTCCTGATGTGAAATTTGAAACCACTTGCTCCACTCTTGACAAACTGGGCAAGGTAAAGAATCTTCAGGACAGTCTTTTGGACCTTGACTATGTCTTAGTGCTTTGCAGCCATAAATTCATCAGGTATGCACCAAATAAGTGGATTACTTAATTCCGTGTCAGCCTTGGCTGGCCAGCACTCTCCATGCTTCTACCACACCTGTGTTCACAGAGCTAAACATTCCCCTGTTGGGGTGTGTTGCTCACAAAGAGATGTGGCTGTCAGCTGCTTCACTGGGAATGAATTGCCACAGCTGAGGCTATGCTGAGCTCAGCAGTCTCCTGTCTCTTCCACAGGTGAGCTGGGCGGAAGTGAAAAGGGAGATGGTCCAAGAGAAGGGGCTTCTGCCTGAGGCTGCAGAGAGTATCGGCCAATACGTTCAGCTCTCTGGTAAGTTTCAGTGCAGGCACAGTGTAGAACGAGGCAGCCAGGTTGGCTGAGAATGTGGACAGGTTCCCTTGTGTTCCCATGGATTTTCGGAGCCCCGGCAGCACCGAGGGAGTCCCAACCAGGGGTCATTTCCTGCAGGAGCCCACAGGAGTGGAGCTCCGGCAGTAAAGAGCCCAGGGGGCGGGCACATACAACAAGCCCCGCCCCCTGCTCCCAGCATCCCTCAGTCAGAGCAAGAAGCAGCCAGGTAAGCCCCCTCCCCCGGCCCCCTGGTCCAAAACTGTCCAGTGGCACCTTTAAGACCAAGTTTTATTCAGG